GCTGAATTGCGAGTTGCCACAAATCCTGCATTTGCTGTGTTATATCTGATACTCCTGAGATTTGATATGGAGAAAATAAGGCTGAAGCCTTCACTGAAGCCACATCACCTCCAATGTCTGACAAAGCTCTTTGACTTTGAAAGGGTTTTTTCTGTTGGTTTCAGTGGACTTTATACTTGGTCATAGAAGGCAAGAATGGTTTGCAGAATAATAAGAATATCTTTGAAGAAACAACAATCTCTGGTTTTGTAAAGAGCATATGAAGAACAATCATTACTCTTAGTCCCAGTCCAACATTTTGTAACCATCTCCCTAACTTCCCTACAAAAAAAAAGCAAGCTAAAATTCTGTATTATTTCTGAACTAGAAGAACTTTTTTTTTCAGGGATGCAAAATGCAAAGTATTGTGTAACTGTTTGGATGTATTAACTATGTAATGTTTCCATTTAATTACTTCCACTAACTCAGAAATGGAAAGAAAACGAAGCACAACAAAACAAAACAAAAAGGAGGGCCAGCATCTTGCAGAGAGGGCAGTAGACTTTGGATATCTAAATGACATGCTGAGTTTTTGTACCAGTTCAGTGATGCAAAAACTACATTAGTATGGGTTAAATCTTTAGAGTTAATCGTGTTATGCCAATTGATACAAGAATTTGGTCATAAATACGCACTGCCTTTAAAATAGAACTTTATGTAGATTAAAATATTTGGGAGACTTTCTAGTAGTCTGCACAGGTTTTACCATTATGCTTTTTGTTAACTGTATTCTTCCAGGGTTGTGCAAGTCTCCAAAGTTCAATTAAGAGGTAGATGACGAGAAAAATCTGAACTGCAAAATAACAACATGCAAATTATGTTGAAATTACATAGCAATGCTTATGCAAATTTTAATCAAAAAGGTGATAATACATGCAAACACTTTCTATATGTCTATATATGTATATGCACAAATATCAGAAAAGCACCCACTCCCAAAAAAATCCAGAGCGCCTTGTTAAATTTGAAATGTCATCTCGGAAAATAATTATTCAAAAATTCCCTTTATATTCCTCTCTGTGAGTAGAAAAATAGTCATCTATAGAGAAACTAACAAAAGTTGCCTCAACTCAGTTTTGTTACAGGCAAAATTGTCAGTGTCAGTGATAGCATGTTCGTCTATAAAAGTGATCACTGGCTTTGGTTAGTGAGATCCTGCTGTCTGCCCCAAATCGGGGTGTATGTGGTATCAGTAGCTTATAATGTATCTGAATAATACCCACTAATAGTCACAACCATCCAGGCCTGAAAGTAGCACATGAAAATGTTGCTTAGGCATTTGAGGAAAGAGAATAAGAAAGCATTTAAGAAAAATCACTACATGCCAGGCCCAAATACTTTGTGCTACATCAAAATGGAGAACAGGGTAGGGACATGAAGGTGGGGAACCTTCAAGAGAAACAAGAGTTCTCGGGAGGAATAATTATGTGCACACTGCTAAATGTTTTTAAGCTCACTAGATGCTGATATGCAAAAAGATCATGAAAATTCATGTAAATTTTGAATCATGATGTCAGTGAAACTGCTCCCATTCACTTCAGCAGTAAGGAAAGCTGAAGTTCCTCTCATAAAGACAGCATCATTTTAAAAAAAAATCTATGTGAAGATAAGATTTTCCCTAACCCTGTCAAAACAGTTCATAAATCACACTCGTGAAATAAAAAAAATTGTAGTCTGACTACTTATACTACAGGATTTCATATAAAAATATGCTTTTATGAACTGAATGGAAATACAGAAGTGACAACATTTGCAACCACAGTTGAATGGTGAGAGGTGGGAGGGATGAACTCTTGATATGTTCTTGAAAAAGTGCTGAGAATTATTGATGAGAAGTCTTCCTCTGGAGTTGGAAAGGGCAATACAGAAGAACCCTCCAGCCACCAGAGAGTACGATGTCAAAAAACACAAAAGTGATAAAAGTATCCGAATGTCTGCTCTGAAACTACTTGAAACTTACACTTGACGTTAAACAGGAAAGACATTATTGATGTTATCCCCTCGTCCTACTAATTTTAAAATTTTGGTATTATTTTTCTTGACTGATCAAATAAGAACAAGATGATAATCAGGGTCCATCCAGTAGCGGACATTCGTTCTAGGGCTGCATCGATAGCTTGACTTGATCTTAAAGGTCTTTTCTAACCGAAAACATTCTATGATTCTATGATTCTATATCATGACAGAAACAAAGAGAATGAACTATACATGACTATAAATGAGATGAAGAGCAATTAAGGATTTGTTTGCACTGACTGACAGAGACTACAGATTCCATGGTGCACAACAGATGCACATGGTATATCTTGAAGTTTGAGAGTGCATTTCTTGATTTAAGGGTGGGGGCATCTCTTCATCCTGACCCTTGCAGTGGTTCAGACAGAGGGTGAGGTAATTAAAAGAAACCAGGGGGATTTAGAGAACTTGAATATACCTTGAATATATCCTGAAAGCAGAAATGTAATGGTGAAATGATTTGCAGTACAAATTATAGCTCAGTGCAAGTAGGAGTGATATTTAGGGGTTTGAAGTTATACTCATTTTGCTACTTTGCTGCTCAGTATAGAATTGATTCAAGGCAATTTATTATTATTATTACTTTTAGAAATAAGAGCTACATATACAAGGCAATTGCCCCCTTAGGACCTGTTATTTGGAAGACACAGTTTTTTAATTCCAGGCAGTTTTTGCATAGATACGATTCCAATTTTCTTCATTCATCTCTGGATTTTAGCTTCCTTAATATTCAGTAATATTGAGAGTATTCTGATGTTTTTTATTCTGCTGCTAGTATTATTAGGAAAAGAAATGAAAGA